GCAACCTCTTGCCCCTCTGCCTCCCTTGTATATAATGAGAATTATTATTAAAGAGTATGAGTACAAGAAGATAGACCAAGAAGAAGAAGATAGACCTGGAAGCTCGACTGCTGTCTAAGCCAGTGGCGGATCCAGGGGGGGGGGGGGGGCCGGGGCGCCCGGCCCCCCCCCCCTTGAGAAAAAAATCATGTAAAATCACGTGATTTTTACCTTTTTTGGGGTTGGGGCCCCCCCCCCCTGGCGCTCAAGGGGGGGGGGGGTGCAAATTGAAATTTTTTTTGAGGATCAAAAAAAAAAAAATGTGCTCACTACCCCCCGGAGCCGAGTCTTGTCCTTGAAATATGGTAAAATAGGGTAAATTTGCGAAAGTGTCCTTACAATTTTATAAATAGGGGTATTCCAAAGTACGATTTTGTCCTTGTTTTGACGTAAAAAAGGGGGTTAAATTTCACAAAATGTCCTTGAAATTGACCGCAAAAGGGGGTTATATGCATTGGTGGTAACGGTCATACGTGTCACTCTTTGCAGAGGAGTGACCCCACCGGGGTCTCTTGCCGAAAACTTGGGTACAAATCTTAATGTTAAATACTGAAGTTGAGGCTAAAGCCTGCTAATATATAGGCTTAGCGGAGCTAGGATTCGTTTATAACGGTTAAGTTTCAGTTTCATTTTTATTTTCATTTCCAACCAAAAAAATCATTAGAAACAATTATATTGATTTTTGATATGCCACATGCTGAAAACTTTTTATCCTGGTCTTACTGTTTCATAATTAGGGGCTCAAACCTCGTACAGGAGCTCAGGGGCGTCACCAGTTGGGGGTGTGTGTGTGGGGGGGGGGGGTGCGACACCCCACCTGTCAGGATATTGTCGGTAAAATTGCGCTGCTGTCGGGAAAATGATAAAAGGGGGAGAGGAAATGAGAGGGTGAGGGAAAGAAAAGAAAAAAAGGAAAGAAAGGAAAGAGAAAAGAAGAAAGAAAGAGAAACAAGAAAAAGAGGAAGGAGAGGAAAGAAAGGAAAAGAAAGAAAAGAAAGAAAAGGGGAAAAAGAAGAAAAAAATGAAAAAAGGCGAAAAAGAAACAAGGGAAACGGGGGGGGGGGGGGGAAAGAGAAAAGAGAGAGAGGGTGGTAAGAGCATAAGAGAAGAGGGGTGGGAGTAAAAGAGGGAGGGGGGTGTTGGATGGAGTCGCCACGTCGAGGGAGCAAGAAAGATACGCATAAAATAGTTGTATTGCTGTGTCAGGTCCGCTGTGTCGGTATTCTTGCTCGATCCTCGTATACTATATCAATGTAGTAGTTTGAAATCGGTGAGATGTACTATTATGTCGGTCGGTCGGCAGTTTAAATTTGTTCCCAACGACTGTGACTTTTTATCGGACAAAGAAACATTTTTGAAAATTCAGACAATAATTAAAGGTCGGTACAAAGAATCGTCTTCTTTCTCTAATAACTTAATGAAACGTCAAAACTTCCGCGCTTCGCGTGGGAGGGGGGAAAACTGGATTCAGACAACGATTAAGTGTCGATAACAGTAAAAACGAAATTAAGAAGCTTCCGCGCTTCGTGCAGGAGAGGGAAATTGCATTCAGACAAGGATTAAGAGTCGAAAACAGTACAACGAATCGTCTTCTTTCTCTAATAATTTAATCAAACATCAAAGGGAGGGGGAAAACTGAATTCAGACGAGGATTAAGAGTAAAAATTTGTTGAAACGTCAAAGCTTCCGCGCTTCGAGCGGGAGGGGGGGGGGGACTGGATTCAGACAAGGATTAAGAGTAATAATTTAATGAAACGTCAAAGCTTCCGCGCTTCGTGCATGAGGGGAAACTTAATTCAGACGAGGGGTACAACGAATCGCCTTCTTTCTCTCATAGTTTAATGAAACGTCAAAACTATCGCGCTTCGCGAGGGAGGGGGAAACTGAATTCAGACAAGGATTGAGAGTAATAATTTAATGAAACGTTAAAGCCTCCGCGCTTCGCGCGGGTGGGTAAAACTGAATTCAAACAATGATATGTCAAAAATTCTGCGCTTCGCGCGGGAGGGAGGGAGGAGGGCAACTGACAAATAATTAAGCTCCTGCCCTCGGGTGTATAGGGTTTTATTTATAGACATTGGGATTAATATATTATGTCGGTAATTGGTGGCTAGTTTTGTCGGTAATCGGTGGCCTCCCACCCCCCCCCCCCCCCACTGAAAAAAGGTCTAGCGACGCCCCTGTATATAGGACCTCTTATCCGCCCACTACAACTACGAAGAGATGGATGTTGTCATACTATCTCCACCAAAGACGGAGATCGGAGGAGGGGAGGGGGACAAGGGGCACACAGTACCCCACACTTTTTCAAATACCCCTTGTTACTGTTTAGAAGTGTCACTTCATGATCCTTTCTCATAAATTGCACTTAATTTAAGAGATTCAATAAGAGCCTTACTAAGCTACTTTTAGCCCTAGGCTTAGATTTCAAACAGTAGGCCTAAGACCCAAACATAAACTTTCGGCATGTAACACATATATTTATGAGAGAGTATAAAAGATCAGCTTTTTATCTTTCTTTTTACATAGATCCTTATTTAGTTAAATAGTCGTAAGAAAGTTTTCAAAGCATTACAAGATAAAAAACGAATATTGTGAATTAAAATGCGGATAAGAATATGAAGAGTAATGAAAACGTCAACATAAAAACCGTCGTGGTTTTGCAACGCCGCTGAGCTGAACGAAACAGAAAATAAAACGCGATATGTGTTTTATGAGCGAAAAGACCAGTCGTTATACTATAGTAGTTGAACTACTACAACCTATGAACTACTGTAGTTCATAGGTTTAGTTTACATGCCATACGATGTGCCTACTTTTCAAGGCCTTTAAAGCTTAAAACTATATAACGCTCCACGTCAAATGGCCGATTTCCCGTTAAATTCATTAAAACAGTAAAACATAGCCGAAATTTTCGAAATTAAATCAGTATTGTATAGGCCTATTACTTTCATTCGTTTTAACAATAGTATGAAAATCCTTAAAAGCGGGCATTGATTGTCAGTTGTGGGCTTTACTTAATTGCGGAGATTTGCGTGTTCCAAAGTGGTCATAGCATACTCTATTATCTTATATAGGATATAGAATATTTACCAACTATAATAGGACTTATGTTACTTTTATATTGGATCGGCTAGTTAGACCTATACCATTAATCTATTTGTTTTGGTTCTCTTTCTCAAACAGCATACGTTTTCATTTTGCGTTTTTCTTTTCGAAGACACTGTAGCCCAAATCCTATTGATGGTCGCTAAAAGTAACCCAATATCGTACTTATGCATAGGCTACTAGGATTTATGTTAATATCTTTCTGCCCAATATCGACATAAGGAAGGTATGATGGGACTGCCCTCCAATTTTTCTTCTCGGACGGTCCAATGTGTCGTATTACAAAGTTGACAAGGGGGCACAAGGCTATGGAACAGGGGCGGCGGAGCGTCTCACGAAGTGGGGGACACCAACAAAAAGGGCACTTTCTGAGAAAAAGGGGGCACCTATAAATGGAAACCTGAAAGCGAAACATACAATGTTAAGACATTGGTATATACCCTTACATTGTGATTGCATTATCAGGGATGAAGATTTTAGTGCCAAGTACAGTCATGTCAGTCATGATAAATTTCAAATATAGGAACTACTTTTTCTTTGTATTCGTCAGTATTGTAAATCTTTCTCAGCTTAGTCACTGGCTACATGCGATGAAATGATGATAACATACTTCAATTCAACTGTTCATAATGCTATATTTTTATGGATTTATTCTATTACAAATTTAGGAGGGATCTGCTGAAGCAAGATTACTTTTAAATGTTTGTAATTATTTGTCAGTTGCTGACAAGAAAGTCGTTACTGCTATTAGCAATACCCCTAAATGCTTTTTGCAGGCAGCAATTAGTTCAATCAAGGAGTTACCAGCTCCTTGGTTTAATACAATCATCCACAACCAGGGGCGTACGCAGGGGGGGGGGGGGGGTGGGTTTGGGGGTTCAAACCCCCCTTTGGTATTTTTATGTATGTAAACCCCCCTAAAAAACCTAACCCCCCCCCCCTTTGGTTTTTTTTTTTTTTATTATGAAAAAAAAAAAAAAAAAAAAAAATTATACCCACGGCTAACCTAAATAAGGTGACCTTACCCCCCCCCCTCAACGTCAAATTTTGAAATTTCGAGACCCCCCCCCGACAAAAAAAAGTGTCCGCTTACCCCCCCCCCCCCCCCCCCCCCCCCAATGAGCGACTTTTCGGCTGGCTGAGTCGTTGCGATTTTTTTTTTGGCCTCCAAAAAAAAAAAAAAAAAAGTGTCCCCCCCCCCCCCCCCCCCCCCCCCCCCCCCCTCACTGAGCGACTTTTCGGCCGGCGCGATTTTCAAATTTTCGGGAGCAAAAAATTTTAAAACCCCCCCCCCCCCCCCCTTGAAAAAATCCTGCGTACGCCCCTGTCCACAACATCAACTGGATTATCACCAATCATGACTATTGAGTATTTAAGGAACTCTTTGGTCTAGCTTGCTTGCATAGCTGTATTGGAAAATAAAAAAAGTTTCCACTATATAGCTTACAACATTGATAACTGCAGATAAATCAGCATAAAGCTCTTTTACTGACTCTGCTAAAATTAAAGTGTCATCAGAATATAATAGAACATTCAACCGTAAAAAAACCTCAACATTATCATCCCTTCTCTCAGGAGAACACATGATGTGGGCGTAAACCACTAACAGCTGATCGAGTCATCAGTGCTAGCCTTAATTCGGATGTTTAAAAAAAATTACGTCACTTTTAAAAGTTTCTATCATGCCACTTCATGCCACGTTAGTCAAAAAATATACAAAAGTTTATGAAAGTATAAATATTTATTAAAATAGATGTGAATTGATTTGTGAAATTTACTTTGAATGCTCATATCATATCCCTGTGTGGGTTATCTTTATTGTTAACATTTTTACGAATCCTTGAATCTACGCTATCCCACCATTCTCTATTCTCTTTCATTGGCTGTAGATCTAGGTAACAACACCAACATTCGTTGCATTGCACCTGATTGATACACGTCTTTAGTACTGTAAAAACCTTTACACACTCAGCAGAAGATTCAGCAAAATGGAAAGTCAGAAAATTGGTATTGTCGGAAGGTAAAACTATGCTCATTATTTCAGTTGAGGCTGTGATATGTTTGTATGGCGAACCATTGTTATATTCAGTCCCACATATGTAATATTTTGATGGTTGATTAGTGTGTGAATGATCTTGATTTCCCGTACTTTTAGACTTGTTATGCAATATAGTTATTATGCCATGGCTTATGGCTAATGGCCTGAAAGCTGCAGCAAAGCTAGGGTTGTAATTTGTATTGAAAAGTTCATGCGACAGTGCAGTGATTCTTTATTTAATATTAATAAATTATTATAATATAGATCTAGGTCTATCTATGCCACACAAATTGGGTAAAATTAAAACTACTTCTACTCCTAGTTCGGTTCTCAGCATTAGCAATGACCACTATGCGTTGCTGGTGTGCAATGCATGAGGTCTAACCAGAAAAACAAACACACCAGCAACACATAGTGGTGGCTGTAGTAGTAACCTGGCCAGACTCGCCTACTGAAGCAGATGCATTCAATGAGCAATGTTTTTTATTTAATGTACTTAGTAAAACACTATAAACATTTCGAAATTGTTTGAAGTCCTATACAGTTTCTTTCGCAATCTTATTGCATGACCATAACTCTCTTTAACTTTTATCTGTATGGGCTTTTAGAATGTGCAAGGTTATATATGATATTCTAATGTCTCTGTATCGACTTTGCGTGTCAATGCTCTACTGATATTCTAATTATATGTAGATATTTCATCTTTTATTCCATTTCAGTGGATTAATTGGACGGAGCTGGGCTATGATCTTTGCCAGTGCTGGGTTCAGTGTCACAATCTTTGATATAGAACCCTCTCAGGTTTGTGGATTCACTATTGACTTACAGTGCTCATATTTTCTTTCCTTCTCTCTTTCTTCCTCTTCTTCTCCTTCTTTCTCTTCTTCCTCATCTTCACTTTCAACAGTTCCAAACATTTAAATTATTATTATTATTGTTGGTTTTTTAAATATTTTTATGATTATTATTGTTAATATTATTATTATTATTATTATGATTGTTAGTATTATTATTGTTGTTGTTGTTTTTATTCTGACTAGTATTTGCATATATTTGCATAGTTTCTGCATTTTATACATGTATAATATTGTTATTATTATTATTTTTATTATTATTATTCATATTATTGTTTTTATAAATCTTGTACAAGTATATTATATTTGATTACTTGTAGGTGAGCAATGCTCTGAAATTGATCAAGTCACAGCTGGAGGAGCTGTCCGAGTCTGGTATGCTACGAGGAACATTGTCTGTCGAGGCTCAGTTTGCTCTCATCAAAGGCAGTAACAGCATGGAAGAAGCTCTCGCTGGAGCTTCATTTGTCCAGGTAATCAGGAAGTATATCATAATCGAAAAGAAACATGTCATGTGGAAAAGTCTGCTTTTATTTGGAGACCCCTTATAATTGAAATATAACTAATCATCTAAACATTTGGACCAAAGTTTTATGTCATCCGAGTGCTGATGATATTAAAGATTTTCCTGTCGTGATCTTCTACACACTCATTAAATAAGTTCAAGTTTTGGTAAAGATAAAGAATAATTTGCAAGTTTTCTCAAATGTTCTTTTTTTGGTGTAAATGTAAGAATAACATTGAAATGTATAGAAATATTGGTGTGAAAATTATCCTAATATTTCAAATGGAACTAATAGTAGTCTCAATTTTAATCGACCACATGTTGATGTCCCACTAGTGTGTAGTCCCTTAATATGTGTATCTATAGCACTTTTCAGTTAATGTGATATTCAGCAAGATTGAACAATTTTGTTTTCATTTCGAAGATTGCCAAATCTCCACTGGGATCTGAAATTGACTGTGGAACAATTGTTTGAGGAGCAAGTGTCACACACTCGCGCAATCTGTAACACTGATCTATGTCAGGAAATTTTCACGTAATCCTGTTATTTCCAATGTGGCATCAAACCATTTATTGATTGGTATTTGTGTGATATCAGGAATGTGTGTTTGAGAAACTTGAGGTGAAGCAGAAGGTGTTCAGTGAGATGGAGCAGTATGTCAGTGATGGCGCCATCTTGAGTAGCTCTTCATCATGCATCATGCCGTCCCAGTTCACGGAGAACCTGAAACGTCGCAACCAGTGCATCATCTCTCATCCTGTAAGTTGTACATCGATGAAAGTATTCATGAGGCCTCTTTCTCACATAGCACTTTTATAATGATAATGGTATTGCGTTCTTGTAGAGAGCATATCATACTGTACGAAAACTGTTTAATAATACACGTCCAAAGCTTGTATGCAGTCTCTTCATATTAATCCATAATGAAATGCACCCTGGTAGAAATCATCCTCGCCCCTCGGACCAGTGAGATGACCTGCTTGGTCCAACCAGTCTGTGACTGGAACCACTCATATTTAATGAACCATCATATTTAATGGTTGGTAGCATGGTTGGTACCATGGTTTGCACATCCGTACCAACCAAGGTTGAAATGCCATATGTCATATGAAAGCTGTAGGATTGGCATTTAGAGTTTGTTATGTAATCTCTACAGATCAACCCACCCTACCGAACCCCTGATGGAAATCACCCCGCCCCTTGGATTGACCAGAATGTGATTGAAAGTCCTGACTAGGACCATTATGAAATGGGTGGTACTATAGTTGGTACCTTGGGTAACTCTCATGGTTGAAATGCCCTCTGCCATATGGTGGCAGCGGTGGGATTGGTATTTGAGCTTGTTATGTAATCTCTACAGATCAACCCACCCTACCATGAACCCCTATTGAAAATCACCCCTGCCCCTTGGATTGATCAGAATGTGATTGAAAGTCCTGACTAGGACCATTATGAAATGGTTGGTACTATAGTTGGTACCTTGGGTAACTGTCATGGTTGAAATGCCCTCTGCTATATGGTGGCAGCGGTGTGATTGGTATATGAGCGTGTAATGTTATTTTTTCAGATCCACCCACCATACTATGTACCCCAGGTAGAAATCATTCCCAACCTTTGGCCAAGCCAAACTGTGATTGACAGGACTAGGACCGTTTGTAAATGATGGGTACTTCATGTAACTGACTCAGTTGGAATGTTATCTAGTGGCAGAAGTGGAATTGGCATTTAGATCTTGTTATGTAATCTCTACAGATTAACCCACCATACTATGCACCCCTGGTAGAAATCATTCCTGCACCTTGGACTGACCAGTCTGCGATTGACAGGACTCGTACCATCATGGAGAGCGTTGGGCAGGTACCGGTCACTCTGAAGAAAGAAGTTCCAGGATTCGCTGCCAACAGGATCCAGTATGCTATCATTGCTGAGGTGTGGAGGCTTGTCGAGGTAAGTGGAAGCACAGTCACACAGTAAAAGATTGATTTGTTGATCCTCAGTAAATGCTTCTTTAGGTAGACTTAGTTGAAATTGCCAAGGCATGAGAAACCTCATGCAATGAAGGCCTTTTTCCCCAATGTGTATTATTGATTAATATACGAATAATGAATGGTTATGAGTGAATGAATGAAAAACATTCATTATTTGTTTTATACAACATCGAAGAAGATCGAATAGAACGTTAATCAATAAATTATGCTTTACTCCTTATATTAAAGATCAATTAAAGTTGGAGTCAAGCCTTCTCGATTACATTCAGATTTCCTTCGTGTCAGATACACACAGGGATACGCGCACGGCAGAGAAGTATGCGCTCTGCATATAACCAAAAATGCACGGCGAATATAACCAAAAATGCATGCCCGTGCAATAGAACATCTATTGAATATCATGTGACCAACAATCCTCCAATCAAATGACAAGGATCCACATAGGTGTTGTATAAAACATTTTGCAGCACAAAAAACAACAGCGGAAAGTAGGGGTAGTATGAAGGGCATTATGATTTCAAAAATTAATCCACATTCTTATGTTGTAAGACTTGCAGAAATGATCTAAATTTTATTATAGAATCAATTGATGTCATTATTGAGTCAAGGAAGATTTCCTGGTAGATTACTTTGTAAGCTTAAATATTTATTTTTATATACCTCACTTAAGAAATCCAGCCATCTGATTGGTCGAAATTGCATTCATAAACTTTAACTATTTCTGCAAAATTCCCAGTAACCATGGTTAAAATAGTTCTAAAATCCCAGTAACCATGGTTACCGGGAAAATAGTTCAGTCTCCATGGTTACCCCATAGGTTTACATGTTAAAAAATGGTCTGAGCGATCGAGGATACCGTACGTGTGCAAAGAATTGGTTGGTAATTTCAATACAATTGAATCTCGATCGATCTTACCGACAATTTTTATCTTGCATTGTTGACATGAAGACGAAAATAAACTAAGCCAAAACAACATCTGCCGATAGATCTTGATCTATGTTCGTGCCAATATGCATTGCAAAAGTAAAAGAAGGGCCCGTTTAATGGAGCAGCCGCGAAGCATCCACCACGCGAAGCCGTTTTCAATCCATTTTAATGTATATATTAGAGAAAACTGCTCGGTAAGGTAACAGAGCGCTATGGCCGAGCGGTTTAAGGTGGTGATTTTAGTTACATCACCTTCTGTACGCAAGAGATCGAATCCCAACTTCGACAAAACTTGTTTTTATTTTTTATTTTTTATTTTTTATTTTTTATTTTTTGGCATATAAAAGTATTAATGACTGCTTTAATATTCGAGAAATAGTTGTTTTTATACGCTTTCGGGAAGGTTACAATTGGGCTATTGCCCTCCGTTGTTTTTATACGCTTTCGGGAAGGTTACAATTGGGCTATTGCCCTCCGTACGCCTCGGGGCAATAGCACAATTCTAACCTTCCCGAGAGCGTATAAAAACAACTATTTCTCTCAAAGCAGTCATTAATACTATAATATTAATGAAGGATAATTTTTCATTTATACCTCATCTATGGTTTTTCATATATGTTGGTCTTTATTTTTTTTACTAGAATTATATCAGTACCATAGATTAATTTAATTTTGTAATCTTAGTAGGGTAGTCATTCATGTTAACTCATAAGTTTGGCACATACTTAATGCCCTTATGCCTTTCAAGACATGATATCCTCGTTAAAAGTTGATCTTTTGATATGATGGGCCATGCAGTAACATTGAAATTCCTGCTTTTAACATTTTTTGTTGTCAGGGAGGTGTACTCTCAGCTGATGATGTGGACAAAGTGATGTCAGCAGGACTAGGACTAAGATATGCCTTCCTAGGCCCTTTAGAAGTCATGCATCTCAATGCAGAGGGTAGGTGTTAACCATTAACATTTTTAGAGGTGTCGTAGACAAGTGAATATGTCACCGACTGTGGATCACAAGGTCCGCGGTTCAAGTCCCACCGCGGCACTAATGTCCTTTGGCAAGACATTTATCTACATTTGCCACTCTCCACCCAGGTGTTAAATGGGTAGGATGCGAAAGCTAATGTGCTTAGATTAGCAAGTGTGCGCTTGTAAAAATGACGCCTGGCTGGAATGCTCCCCTGGGATGGAGAATGTACATACATTGTGTGCGGGTAAACCTGAATCCGACGATCGGGGTAATAATATGATTGCAGAGTCCTCAGGGAGAACAGTATGAATACTGATGAGGCTACCCTTGGTAAACAAGACATATTATTATTATTATTATTATTATTATTATTATTATTATTATAATAATTAAACTCCTTGAAATTACAGTGATGTCAGCAGAACTTAAGCTATGCCTTTTATAATGTAAATGACACTCCTAGCTCCCTCCACTTTCTCTATTCTTGAGCATTCTCCTCATTTAGACTAACCTTACTGCTTTCTTTCTTCACCATATCTTTCCATGAACTCCGCTGTCTTCCTCTCCCTCATATGCCATTCACTACCAGATCCCATGCTCTTTTCACAGGTTCATCATCTTCCCTTCTCAACACATGACACATCCATCTCAGTCCACTTCTCTTTACCACTTCCACTTCCAGACCCAACGTTTCCATGAGCTTCCTTGTGTTCTTTCTGCCAGACAGTTTTACACCACACATGCTCCGTATCATGGCTCTTTCTGTTCTCTTCAAGAAACCTCCTTTTACTGTCTTCACATTTCAAGTTTCTGATCCATATTCCATCACCGTTATAATAACATAAGCCTTCTATTGCATCCATCTATCTGTTTTTTTATAATTCACAAAAGTGTCTGGTTCTTTAGTAGGTTATACAATGTAGCAATTCTTGTTTTTATATTTGTTTTGTGTCCAGGCATGCAGAGTTACATGGAGCGATACACCCAGAGCATTGAGCACGTTCTCGGTAACTTCGGTCCCACGCCAACGTTCACGGGGAGCGGCCTTGAGCGGATCATCAAGGAGATGGATGCAAAGATCCCTCTGGACAAGCTCGAAGAGCGCCGCCAATGGCGAGATACAAGACTTGCCGCCCTTGCCAAGCTCAAGAGGGATTTAGAGAGAGAAGGAAAATGAGCCAAGTAATGCCAGAACAACACCAAAGTCCAAATCAACTACTGTAACACTGAAAATCAGGAAATTTTCACGTAATCCTGTTATTTCCAATGTGGCATCAAACCATTTATTGATTGGTATTTGTGTGATTTCAGGAATGTGTGTTTGAGAAACTTGAGGTGAAGCAGAAGGTGTTCAGTGAGATGGAGCAGTATGTCGGTGATGGCGCCATCTTGAGTAGCTCTTCATCATGCATCATGCCGTCCCAGGTCCCGGAGAACCTGAAACGTCGCAACCAGTGCCTCATCTCTCATCCTGTAAGTTGTACATCGATGAAAGCATTAACGAGGCCTCTTTCTCACATAGCACTTTTATAATGATAATGGTATTGCGTTCTTGTAGAAAGCATATCATACTGTATGAAAACTGTTTTATAATACACGTCCAAAGCTTGTTATGCTGTCTCTTCATTATAATCCATAATGAAATGCACCCTGGTAGAAATCATCCTCGCCCCTTGCCAAGCTCAAGAGGGATTTAGAGAGAGAAGGAAAATGAGCCAAGTAATGCCAGAACAACACCAAAGTCCAAATCAACTACTTATTCCAGTAAAGGAAATTTTGTGCATGGTGTGATGCTTTGATGATGATGTGTGATTGAAGACTTTGAATGATCACTTATGTGTGTGAAAAACTGAGCATTTTTTAGCCGGATTTGTATTTTTGAAACTGATTAGTCACAATAATGTGTAATATTGAAGAATGACTTATCAGGTACCCTTTTATAAATCAGTATTTTTGAGAGTCATGCGAAACCGTTCAGCTAATAGGACTGACAGATTTTTTGTAAGTAAATACAACTCACTGGATATCTAGTTTGATTGTAAGTGATTTATAAGTAAATTTGGAACAAACTACCAAACATCACTGCCCTTGATAGCCGTGGTATGGAGAACGATAAGACGTTGGCTACCCGCAAGAGTAAATCCCACTGAAAATATTTGACCATTACAGCATTTTTGCGGGCAGCTGACTTAGTGCCCTTCTACATTCTGTGTCACAATGGGAAAAAAGGGTAATCAAAATGTTTGATGAAGTTACCTTTTAAGTATCAAGGTATTAAAAATAATATTCATTGGATTGGACCCTTACATGTATAATGTTTGGGGTTTGAAATTTAAAGATAAACTTGAGTTCTGGTAAAAAAAAGAAAATGAATTCTCACAGAATCTAACGAAACTTACACTGAATGTTCAAGATTACAAATAAATGTCATGTGCCAAACAATTTTCGAAGAAAATGTATACTGGCTGATTAATGAGCATAGAAAGATAAGGAAATCAGGGTAGTACTAGCCCCGACACCATGTGTGTTGTCCCATATACATCTTTCTGTGTAAGAAAGTGTTACTTTACCAAGACTCTGCCAAATTTATGATGATTTTGATGACTCCAGAACCTTGCATTACACACCATTACTTACATATGATCAACTTCTCTGATCCATTCCACACCTTTTCTTTCACAATGCAATCGCATTACCAGAACTCAAGTTTATCTTTAATAATACTAATAATCATATGGAAATTTATAAAGCCCAGCTACTATATGAATATTTGACTGCGCTTAATACAAAGTACCATATTATTATTATCCCTATGTCACCTAATTAAATCTTAGAATACATTAGTATAGTCATTAATGTATCGTAGTCATTTATCTAAATTTATAAAGGCGAGATTGTACAGAAAATTTTATTTTGTGTATACATGCATGTATTTGTAATTTGTCAATGTTTGAGCCAGTAACTTTTCTGAGTTTGAAAACTAGAGAATAAAAGTCAACTTGGTCAATTATATATAGATGCTTGGTAGAATTCATGTGTGTAGATATTTTTGGCCCTTTCTCTATATATCACAACATCATTTTGCTTAATGCCTTCCAAAGAATTGTGTAGAAAGTATAGTTCATTTTAATTTAACTGTAACAGATTTGTGTACACAACCCCAGATGGTGATAGATACATCAAATGGCCAAAAAATGCAGACACGCACACATACATGTACACCGGCATTACCAGTACTCGGCATTTAGCCATGATCAAAACCCGACTCTATTTTTGAAATTCCCTATATATCATTGTTTTGTGATTTATCAACATAAATATGACCTTTTTCTATGAATTCTACACCACACACACAGCAAACAATATCTTACATAGAATATTCCCCCTCCCAAGCCACAATCCCAAGCCATAATCCACTCAAACTCCTAGCTTTTGGTGGTTGGTCTACTGCATTTATTTAATTAGTATAATAATATAGTTAAATACTGTCACATTTATTATATATTATGATTGTATAACTGTTCTAATTTCATTGTTTTTCTTACCTAAATTTTATTGAAAAAATGTGCTTTGTACATTTCATTTTGATTTTGTTAATAAATACAGAAATAAATCTGCCCTTAAAAAAATATTTAAAACAAAAAGTTTAAAAGGGCTATTATCAGAGGTGAAACACTTCTCACACTTGAAGAGGGGCATCCACCAGAGATGAAAAAGGCACATAGGAAAAGTGCATTTGTCAAAGGAAAAAGGGCACCAATCAGATTTTAATAGGGGCGTTTATCAGAGGTGAAATGGGGGTATTTGTGACAATGGGAAAGGCTCTTATTAAGAAGGAAAAAATGGCACTTATTAAAAAGGAAAGGGGCACGTGTCAAAATAAAAGGGGCTCTTATCAAAGTTGAATAGGGGCAGTTATGAGCCCTGGAAAATTTGAAAAATCGCACCCCCCCCCCCCTGAGCGCCAGGTGTTTTTACACGTTTTTTTTGCCCAGGGGTGCCCTACCCCCCCCCCCCTCCCCTGGATCCGCCACTGTGCGTACTGTACATGGCGAAACCCTGTAAAAGTAGTTCCAATCGCATCTCTCAACAAATTTTAAAGGCCTTTATATACGAGTGATATAACCTGTCCAATGTGATACAAATATACCATGAAGGTGTGGGAGGGAGGTGTACTAAGCTATAATGATTAATTTGTCATTTCCTTATCTCATCTTCCTTTATTTCTGATCCCTCTTGATCTAATTTCCATTTAATTTTTTATTTGAAAATCGAGTGGCCGGAGGAGGAGGGGGGGGGGGGGGGGTGTCACTTTAGTGCCAAGTACAGTCATGTCAGTCATGATAAATTTCAACTATAGGAACTACTTTCCTTTGTATTTTTTCATCATTATTGTAAATCTCTCTCAGCTTAGTCACTGACTGCATGCGATGAAATAATGATAAAATATTTCGATTCAACTGTTTCATATTTAGGAGGGAAACGATCTGCTGAAGCAAGATTACTTTTGAATGTTTGTAACATTTAGTCAGTTGCCGACAAGAAAGCCGTTACTGCTATTGTCAATACTCCACATGCTTTTTGTAGGCAGCAATTAGTTCAATCAAGGAGTTACCAGCTCCTTGGTTCAATATAATCATCCACAACTATTGAGTATTTAAGGAACTCTTGGTCTAGCTTTCTTGCATAGCTGTATTGGAAAATAAAAAAAGTTTCCATTATAGCTTACAACATTGATAACTGCAGATAAATCAGCATAAAGCTCTTCTACTGCCTCTGCTAAAATTAAAGTGTCATCAGAATATAATAGAACATTCAACCGTAAAAAGACCTTAACATTATCATCACTTCTCTCAGGAGAACCATGGTCCATGGGAGAACACATGATGTGGGCGTAAACCACTAACAGCTGATCGAGTTATCAGTGCTAGCCTTAATTCGGATGTTTAAAAAAAATTACGTCACTTTTAAAAGTTTCTATCATGCCACTTCATGCCACGTTAGTCAAAAAATATACAAAGGTTTATGAAAGTATAAATATTTATTAAAATAGATGTGAATTGATTTGTGAAATTTACTTTGAATGCTCATATCATATCCCTGTGTGGGTTATCTTTATTGTTAACATTTTTACGAATCCTTGAATCTAAGCTATCCTACCATTCTCTATTCTCATTCATTGGCTGTAGATCTAGGTAACAACACCAACATTCGTTGCATTGCACCTGATTGATACACGTCTTTAGTACTGTAAAAACCTTTACACACTCAGCAGAAGATTCAGCAAAATGGAAAGTCAGAAAATTGGCATTGTCGGAAGGTAAAACTATGCTCATTATTTCAGTTGAGGCTGTGATATGTTTGTATGGCGAACCATTGTTATATTCAGTCCCACATATGTAATATTTTGATGGTTGATTAGTGTGTGAATGATCTTGATTTCCTGTACTTGTAGACGTGTTATGCAATATAGTTATTATGCCATGGCTTATGGCTAATGGCCTGAATGAAAGCTGCAGCAAAGCTAGGGTTGTAATTTGTATTGAAAAGTTCATGTGACAGTGCAGTGATTCTTTATTTGATAGACCTATTATTATTAATACATTAATCTAATATACTGATATGTGCCACACAAATTGGGTAAACTTAACTACTCCAGCTTCCCTAGGTCCAGTCCAGTTCTCAGCATTAGAAATGACCACTGTGCGTTGCTGGTGTGGTCCTTAATATGTATTAGCATTGACCACTGTGCGTTGCTGGTGTGCAATGCATGAGGTCTAACCGGAAAAACAAACACACCAGCAACACATAGTGGTGGATGTAGTAGTAGCCTGGCGCTGGCCGACTCGCCTACTGAAGCAAATGCATTCAATGAGCAATGTTTTTATTTAATGTACTTAGTAGTACACGATAAACCTTTCGAAATTGTTCGAAGTTCTAGACAGTTTTTTTCGCAATCTTATTGCATGACCATAACTCTCTTTACCTTTTTGACCTCTTTTAATTTTTTACTATTTTCTTTTTTTTTTACTTTTAACCGCTCAGGTATCCCCCTGCGTGTACCAATTACCCGTAGAGCCAGATACAGAAATTCTTTTATTCCAAATTCCATGCACATCTACAATGCACAAATAACACAAAGTTCTCAGCTTTAAACGAAATAATAGCGATAATAGCGATTATGATTATTTGTTAACTTGTTCTCTACCCACCCAGTAAATAAACTTGTAGGGATTGGGTTGGAAAGTTTTCCACCTTATCACCTTTGTGGGTCAAAAAAAATCCGTCGTTTAGCTCTGCTGCTGATTTTTTTGTATTTTTCTGTCATGCATTATAATCTAATTGGAAATTATGCCATCTCTCCTTCTCTATCTCTCTCCTTTCCCTTTGGACCCTTACCAACTCTCCCTATATTTCTCTCTTTTATCAGTCCTTCAAGCTTGAACTCTCTTTTCCTTTCCCTTTCTCTTTCTGCTCGTATTTCGATTGTGATGCTGCTCCTATTCTACTTTCATATTCACATCTATATTCATACCTGAATTTATTCATGATGTGATTCAGAATTGTATTTAAAATTCTTGCTATGTATAAGTCATATAACTGTCTTGTCATGTTTTGTGCTGAAAGCTGGAGGACCGTACCTGCTCATAGACTTTTTCTTATAGAGTCTTCTGGCTTTCAGCACACAACACCATGTTTTTGTCTTATGTTTTATGTAATACATGTTACACCAATGGAAAACAAATTTCTGTATTATATTATGGACAATAAAATCTTGAATCTTGAATCTTGAATCTTTTATCTGTATGGGCTTTTAGAATGTGCAAGGTTATATATAAAATTCTAATGTCTATGTATCGACTTTGCATGTCAATGCTCTACTGATATTCTAACTATATCTTTTATTCCATTTCAGTGGATTAATTGGACGGAGCTGGGCTATGATCTTTGCCAGTGCTGGGTACAGTGTCACAATCTTTGATATAGAACCCTCTCAGGTTTGTGGATTCACTATTGACTTGCAGTGCTCATATTTTCTTTCCTTCTTTCTTTCTTTCTCTTCTTCTCCTTCTTCTTCATCTTCACTTTCAACAGTTTCATACATTTAAATTATTATTATTATTGTTATTTTTAATATCATTATGATTATTATTGTTATTATTATTATTGTTATTATTATTATTATTATTATTATTATTATTATTATTATTATTATTATGATTGTTATTATTATTATTGTTGTTGTTTTTATTCAGACTAGTATTTTCTCTCTATTTTTTATTTACTACTATAATCATCATCATCATTATCATTATCAAAGAGAGACATACATACATTTTCTTCTTGCACTATCACAATAAACTGAAAGAATGAACAGAAAGCTGAAATTTGATAATATAAACACAAAATTACCAATTAAACTGTAGAATTGTTCAAACTCAAGTCTCGCAAACATACCCACAACCTGCGCAGCTTTCAAAATACTCTATTACTGCTAAGCCCATCACACAAACAAAAAAAACATTGAGAGATTAAGCATTTGCTTTGGCAGACCCCAAACCATGGAACAATTGAACGTTTTAGACATTTGTAAATCACCACCGTTAAGTAATTTTAAATCTGAACTAGAAGCACATCTTTTCATTTAACTTTATGTTCTAGTTTTTAAGCACATCAGGAGCTCTTGCAGTGCAATAGAATATATTTGCATAGTTTCTGCATTTTGTAAATGATTAAAAAATTACTGTTATTATTATTATCATTATTTTTATTATTATTATTCATATTATTGTTTTATTAATCTTGTATTATATTTGATATTTGATTACTTGTAGGTGAGCAATGCTTTGAAATTGATCAAGTCACAGCTGGAGGAGCTGTCCGAGTCTGGTATGCTACGAGGAACATTGTCTGTCGAGGCTCAGTTTGCTCTCATCAAAGGCAGTAACAGCATGGAAGAAGCTCTCGCTGGAGCTTCTTTTGTCCAGGTAATCAAAAAGTATATCATAATCGAAAAGAAACATGTCATGTGGAAAAGTGTGCTTTTATTTGGAGACCCCTTATAATTGAAATATAACTAATCGTCTAAACATTTGGACCAAAGTTTAATGTCACCTGAGTGATGATGATATGAAAGATTTTCCTGTCGTGATCACACTTATTAAATAAGTTCTGGTAAAGATAAAGAATAATTTGCAAGTTTTCTCAAATGTTCTTTTTTTTTGTAAATAAAAGAATAACAATGAAATGTATGGAAAATATTGGTGTGAAAATGATCCTAATGTTTCATATGGAACTAATACTATAGTAGTCTCAATTTTAATTGACCACATGTTGATGTCCCACCAGTGTGTAGTCCCTTAATCTGTGTATCTATAGCACTTTTCAGTTAATGTGATATTCGGCAAGAATGAATAATTTTGTTATCATTTTGATGACTCCCAAATCTCCACTGGGATTTGAAATTGACCGTTGGATAATTGTTTTAGGAGCAAGTGTCACACACTCGCATAATCTATAACACTGATCTATGTCAGGAAATGTTCACGTAATCCTGTTATTTCCAATGTGGCATCAAACCATTTATTGATTGGTATTTGTGTGATTTAACTGGTGAACTAACATTATGCACTACTTATCCTTAAAGGTTCTATATTGAAGAGACAGTTGGTCTCTTCTTATTTCCCTTAACTCTTTCTTTTACCTTCGTTTACCTTGCAATGTACCATGCATGTGTGTGTGTGTGTTCATCGGTGTGTATTATCTTATTATATATATAGTCACTGTTTTGATAACGTGTACAACCATGTAATCTTGATATTTATTATTCATGTCAGGGGACTATTACTTACAAGTTTTTCAAACTTGTTTTTTAGTCTCCAATTTATTCATTCAAGAAATGTAAGATTATGATTGTTTCATGTTATTTTTGTATATATTATTTTATGGTTTTATGATTAAAGTAAATGAATTGAATTTGAAATTGAATTGAATTGAAATGGAATTGAAATTATGGAAATTGAAATTGAAATTGAATCGATATTGAAATTGAATCGAAATTGAATTGAAATTTCAGGAATGTGTGTTTGAGAAACTGGAGGTGAAGCAGAAGGTGTTCAGTGAGATGGAGCAGTATGTCGGTGACGACGCCATCTTGAGTAGCTCTTCATCATGCATCATGCCGTCCCAGTTCACAGAGAACCTCAAACGTCGCAACCAGTGCCTCATCTCTCATCCTGTAAGTTGTACATCAATGAGGCCTCTTTCTCACATAGCACTGTGCTAATGATAAGGGTATTGCATTCTTGTAGAGAGCATCATACTGTACGAAAACTGTTTTTTAATACACGTCCAAAGTTGGTTATGCAGTCTCTTCATATTAATCTATAATTAAATGCACCCTGATAGAAATCATCCCCGCCCCTTGGACCAGTGAGATGACCTGCTTGGTTCAACCAGTCTGTGACTGGAACCATTCATATTTAATGAACCATCATATTTAATGGTTGGTAGCATGGTTGGTACCATGGTTTGCACATCCGTACCAACCAAGGTTGAAATGCCATCTGTCATATCATGGGGGGCAGCTTTGGGATTGGCATTTAGAGTTTGTTATGTAATCTCTACAGATCAACACACCCTACCGAACCCCTGATGGAAATCACCCCGCCCCTTGGATTGACCAGAATGTGATTGACAGTCCTGACTAGGACCATTATGATGGTTGGTACTATAGTTGGTACCTCGGGTACTAACTCTCATGGTTGAAATGCCCTTTGCCATACGGTGGCAGCGGTGGGATTGGCATTTAGAGTTTGTTGTGTAATCTCTACAGATCAACCCACCCTACCATGAACCCCTGATGAAAGTCACCTCCGCCCCTTGGATTGACCAAAATGTGATTGACAGTCCTGACTAGGACCATTATGATGGTTGGTACTATACCCACCCTACCATGAACCCCTGATGAAAATCACCCCCGCCCCTTGGATTGACCAGAATGTGATTGAAAGTCCTGACTAGGACCATTATGATGGTTGGTACTATAGTTGGTACCTCGGGTAACTCTCATGGTTTAAATGCCCTCTGCTATATGGTGGCAGCGGTGGGATTGGTATTTGAGTTTGTAATGTTATTTTACCAGATCCACCCACCATACTATGCACCCCTGGTAGAAATCATCCCCATCCTTTGGCCGAACCAAACTGTGAATAGGGACTTTTAGATTCTGCACGACGAGAACGTGGACTGCCCTTTTAATTCAATGTGACGTCACTGCCAGTGCCTTAAAAGGACGTCACATTGCCTTAAATGGGCAGTCCACGTTCACGTCGTGCAGAATCTAAAAGTCCCTATTGACAGGACTAGGACCGTTTGTAAATGATGGGTATACTTCATGTAACTGACTCAGTTGGAATGTTATCTAGTGGCAGCAGTGGAATTGGCATTTAGATCTTGTTATGTAATCTCTACAGATTAACCCACCATACTATGCACCCCTGGTAGAAATCATTCCTGCACCTTGGACTGACCAGTCTGCGATTGACAGGACTCGTACCATCATGGAGAGCATTGGGCAGGTACCGGTCACTCTGAAGAAAGAAGTTCCAGGATTCGCTGTCAACAGGATCCAGTATGCTATCATTGCTGAAGTGTGGAGGCTTGTTGAGGTAAGTGGAAGCACAGTCACACAGTAAAAGATTGATTTGTTGATCCTCAGTAAATGCTCCTTTAGGTAGACTTAGTTGAAATTGCCAAGGCATGAGAAACCTCATGCAATGAAGGCCCTTTCCCCCAATGTGTATTATTGATTAATATACAAATAATGAATGGTTATGAGTGAATGAATGAAAAACATTCATTATTTGTTTTATACAACATTGAAGAAGATCGAATAGAACGTTAATCAATAAATTATGCTTTACTCCTTATATTAAAGATAAATTAAAGTTGGAGTCAAGCCTTCTTGATTACATTCAGATTGCCTTCGTGTCAGATACACACAGGGATACGCGCACGGTAGAGAAGTACGCGCTCTGCATATAACCAAAAATGCATGGCGAATATAACCAAAAATGCATGCCCGTGCAATAGAACATCTATTGAATATCATGTGACCAACAATCCTCCAATCAAATGACAAGGATCCACATAGGTGTTGTATAAAACATTTTGCAGCACAAAAAACAACAGCGGAAAGTAGGGGTAGTATGAAGGGCATTATGATTTCAAAAATTAATCCACATTCTTATGTTGTAAGACTTGCAGAAATGATCTAAATTTCATTATAGAATCAATTGATGTCATTATTGAGTCAAGGAAGATTTCCTGGTAGATTACTTTGTAAGCTTAAATATTTATTTTTATATACCTCACTTAAGAAATCCAGCCATCTGATAGGTCGAAATTGCATTCATAAACTTTTTTCTGTAAAATTCCCAGTAACCATGGTTAAAATAGTTCTAAAATCCCAGTAACCATGGTTACCGGGAAAATAGTTCAGTCTCCATGGTTACCCCATAGGTTTACATGTTAAAAAATGGTCTGAGCGAATCGAGGATTCCGTACATGTGCGAAGAATTGGTCGGTAATTTCAATACAATTGAATCTCGATCGATCTTACCAACAATTTTTATCTTCCATTGTTGACATGAAGACGAAAATAAACTAAGCCAAAACAACATCTGCCGATAGATCTTGATCTATGTTCGTGCCAATATGCATTGCAAAAGTAAAAGAAGGGCCCGTTTAATGGAGCAGCCGCGAAGCATCCACCACGCGAAACCGTTTTCAATCCATTTTAATGTATATATTAGAGAAAACTGCTCGGTAAGGTAACAGAGCACGATGGCCGAGCGGTTTAAGGTGGTGATTTTAGTTACATCACCTTCTGTACGCAAGAGATCGAATCCCAACTTCGACAAAACTTTTTTTTATTTTTTATTTATTTATTTTTTATTTTTTGGCATATAAAAGTATTAATGACTGCTTTAATATTAGAGAAATAGTTGTTTTTATACGCTCTCGGGAAGGTTACAATTGGGCTATTGCCCTCGGCACGCCTCGGGGCAATAGCACAATTCTAACCTTTCCGAGAGCGTATAAAAACAACTATTTCTCTCAAAGCAGTCATTAATACTATAATATAAATGAAGGATAATTTTTCATTTATACCTCATCTATGGTTTTTCATATATGTTGGTCTTTATTTTTTTTACTAGAATTATATCAGTACCATAGATTAATTTAATTTTGTAATCTTAGTAGGGTAGTCATTCATGTTAACTCATAACTTTGGCACATACTTAATGCCCTTATGCCTTTCAAGACATGATATCCTCGTTAAAAGTTGATCTTTTGATATGATGGGCCATGCAGTAACATTGAAATTCCTGCTTTTAACATTTTTTGTTGTCAGGGAGGTGTACTCTCAGCTGATGATGTGGACAAAGTGATGTCAGCAGGACTAGGACTAAGATATGCCTTCCTAGGCCCTTTAGAAGTCATGCATCTCAATGCAGAGGGTAGGTGTTAACCATTAACATTTGTAGAGGTGTCGTAGACGAGGATATGTCACCGACTGTGGATCACAAGGTCCGCGGTTCAAGTCCCAACTCGGCACTAATGTCCTTTGGCCAGACATTTATCTACATTTGCCACTCTCCACCCAGGTGTTAAATGGGTAGGATGCGAAATCTAATATGCTTAGATTAGCAAGTGTGCGCTTGTAAAAATGACGCCTGGCTGGAATGCTCCCCTGGGATGGAGAATGTACATACATTGTGTGCGGGTAAACCTGAATCCGACGATCGGGGTAATAATATGATTGCAGAGCCCTCAGGGAGAACAGTATGAATACTGATGAGGCTACCCTTGGTAAACAAGACATATTATTATTATTATTATTATTATTATTATTATTATTATTATTATAATAATTAAACTCCTTGAAATTACAGTGATGTCAGCAGATCTTAAGCTATGCCTTTTATAATGTAAATGACACTCCCTCCCTCCACTTTTTCTTGTCTTGAGCATTCTTCTCATTTAGACTATCCTTACTGCTTTCTTTCTTCACCATATCTTTCCATGAACTCCGCTGTCTTCCTTTTCCTCATATGCCATTCACTACCAGATCCCATGCTCTTTTCACAGGTTCATCATCTTCCCTTCTCAACACATGACCCATCCATCTCAGTCCACTTCTCTTTACCACTTCCACCACAGTTTCTTCCAGACCCAACGTTTCCATGAGCTCCCTTGTGTTCTTTCTGCCAGACAGTTTTACACCACACATGCTCCGTATCATGGCTCTTTCTGTTTTCTTCAAGAAACCTCCTTCTACTGTCTTCACATTTCAAGTTTCTGATCCATATTCCATCACCGTTATAATAACATAAGCCTTCTATTGCATCCATCTTATTGACTGTCTGTTTTTTTATAATTCACAAAAGTGTCTGGTTCTTTAGTAGGTTATACAATGTAGCAATTCTTGTTTTTATATTTGTTTTGTGTCCAGGCATGCAGAGTTACATGGAGCGATACACCCAGAGCATTGAGCACGTTCTCGGTAACTTCGGTCCCACGCCAACGTTCACAGGGAGCGGCCTTGAGCAGATCATCAAGGAGATGGATGCAAAGATCCCTCTGGACAAGCTCGAAGAGCGTCGCCAGTGGCGAGATACCAGACTTGCCGCCCTTGCCAAGCTTAAGAGGGATTTAGAGAGAGAAGGAAAATGAGCCAAGTAATGCCAGAACAACACCAAAGTCCAAATCAACTACTGTCACACTGAAAATCAGGAAATTTTCACGTAATCCTGTTATTTCCAATGTGGCATCAAACCATTTATTGATTGGTATTTGTGTGATTTCAGGAATGTGTGTTTGAGAAACTTGAGGTGAAGCAGAAGGTGTTCAGTGAGATGGAGCAGTATGTCGGTGATGGCGCCATCTTGAGTAGCTCTTCATCATGCATCATGCCGTCCCAGTTCACGGAGAACCTGAAACGTCGCAACCAGTGCCTCATCTCTCATCCTGTAAGTTGTACATCGATGAAAGCATTAACGAGGCCTCTTTCTCACATAGCACTTTTATAATGATAATGGTATTGCGTTCTTGTAGAGAGCATATCATACTGTACGAAAACTGTTTTATGATACAGGTCCAAAGCTTGTTATGCTGTCTCTTCATATTAATCCATAATGAAATGCACCCTGGTAGAAATCATCCTCGCCCCTTGCCAAGCTCAAGAGGGATTTAGAGAGAGAAGGAAAATGAGCCAAGTAATGCCAGAACAACACCAAAGTCCAAATCAACTACTTATTCCAGTAAAGGAAATTTTGTGCATGGTGTGATGCTTTGATGATGATGTGTGATTGAAGACTTTGAATGATCACTTATGTGTGTAAAAGACTGAGCATTTTTTAGCCGGATTTGTATTTTTGAAACTGTGATTAGTCATAATAATTTGTAATATTGAAGAATGACTTATCAGGTACCCTTTTATAAATCAGTATTTTTGAGAGTCATGCGAAACCGTTCAGCTAATAGGACTGACAGATTTTTTGTAAGTAAATACAACTCACTGGATATCTAGTTTGATTGTAAGTGATTTATAAGTAAATTTGGAACAAACTACCAAACATCACTGCCCTTGATAGCCGTGGTATGGAGAACGATAAGACGTTGGCTACCCGCAAAAGGGTAGTAAATCCCACTGACAATATTTGACCATTACAGCATTTTTGCGGGCAGCTGACTTAGACTTAGTGCCCTTCTAAATTCTGTGTCACAATGGGAAAAAAGGGTAATCAAAATGTTTGATGAAGTTACCTTTTAAGTATCAAGGTAATACAAATACTATGCATTGGATTGGACCCTTACATGTATAATGTTTGGGTTTGAAATTTAAAGATAAACTTGAGTTCTGGTAAAAAAAAGAAAATGAATTCTCACAGAATCTAACGAAACTTACACTGAATGTTCAAGATTACAAATAAATGTCATGTGCCAAACAATTTGGAAGAAAATGTATACTGGCTGAGTAATGAGCATAGAAAGATAAGGAAATCAGGGTAGTACTAGCCCCGACACCATGTGTGTTGTCCCATATACATCTTTCTGTGTATGTAATTGTTACTTTACCAAGACTCTGCCAAATTTATGATGATTTTGATGACTCCAGAACCTTGCATTACACACCATTACTTACATGCTATATGATCAACTTTTCTGATCCATTCCACACCTTTTCTTTCACAATGCAATCGCATTACCAGAACTCAAGTTTATCTTTAATAATACTAATAATCATATGGAAATTTATAAAGCCCAGCTACTATATGAATATAGTAATATATTTGACTGCGCTTAATACAATGTACCATATTATCCCTATGTCACCTGATTAAATCTTAGAATACATTAGTATAGTCATTAATGTATCGTAGTCATTTATCTAAATTTATAAATGCGAGATTGTACAGAAAATTTTATTTTGTGTATACATGTATTTGTAATTTGTCAATGTTTGAGCCAGTAACTTTTCTGAGTTTGAAAACTAGAGAATAAAAGTCAACTTGGAACAATGATATAGATGCTTGGTAGAATTTATGTGTGTAGATATTTTTGGCCTTTTCTCTATATATCATAACATCATTTTGCTTAATGCCTTCCAAAGAATTGTGTAGAAAGTATAGTTCATTTTAATTTAACTGTAACAGATTTGTGTACACAACCCCAGATGGTGATAGATACATCAAATGCAGACACGCACACATACATGTACACCGGCATTACCAGTACTCGGCATTTAGCCATGATCAAAACCCGACTCTATTTTTGGAATTCCCTATATATCATTGTTTTGTGATTTATCAACATAAATATGACCTTTTTCTATGAATTCTACACCACACACACAGCAAACAATATCTTACATAGAATATTCCCCCTCCCAAGCCACAATCCCAAGCCATAATCCACTCAAACTCCTAGCTTTTGGTGGTTGGTCTACTGCATTTATTTAATTTGTATAATAATATAGTTAAATACTGTCACATTTATATATTATGATTGTATAACTGTTTTAATTTCATTGTTTTTCTTATTTGAATTTTATTGAAAAAAAATGTGCTTTGTACATTTCATTTTGATTTTGTTAATAAATACAGAAATAAATCTGCCCTTAAACAAATATTTAAAACAAAAAGTTTAAAAGGGCTATTATCAGAGGTAAAACACTTCTCACACCTGAAGAGGGGCATTCACCAGAGATGAAAAAGGCACATAGGAAAAGTGCATTTGTCAAAGGAAAAAGGGCACCAATCTGATTTTAATAGGGACGTTTATCAGAGGTGAAATGGGGGTATTTGTGACAATGGGAAAGGCTCTTATTAAGAAGGAAAAAATAGCACTTATTAAAAAGGAAAGGGGCACGTATCAAAATAAAAGGGGCTCTTATCAAAGTTGAACAGGGGCAGTTATGAGCCCTCGAAAATTTGAAAAATCGCACCCCCCCCCCCTGAGCGCCAGGTGTTTTTACACATTTTTTTGCCCAGGGGTGCCCTACCCCCCCCCCTGGATCCGCCACTGTGCGTACTGCACATGGCGAAACCCTGTAAAAGTAGTTCCAATCGCATCTCTCAACAAATTTTAAAGGCCTTTATATACGAGTGATATAACCTGTCCAATGTGATACAGATATACCATGAAGGTGTGGGAGGGAGGTGTACTAAGCTATGATTAATTTGTCATTTCCTTATCTCATCTTCCTTTATTTCTGACCCTTCTTGATCAAATTTCCATTTAATTTTTTATTTGAAAATCGAGTGGCCGGAGGAGGGGGGGGGGGGTGTCACTTTAGTGCCAACTGCCAAGTACAGTCATGTCAGTCATGATAAATTTCAACTATAGGAACTACTTTCCTTTGTATTTTTAGAAAACTACATGGGGTATGGACTATGTTGCGTGTTAACTAGTAATCCCACATAATTCCCTTTTTTAATTAAACTACTAAAAAGCAGTATCCCTCCAGACAAGAAAACACTTAATAAATGATCACATCCAGACAAATTGATTATGGTTAAAAACTGGTTCTATATTCTATAATTTCACATAAGATACAATGATTACAGAATTATCAGAAACCTCTTCTGTCTATCTCAACAGTGACAGACAATTAAACTATCACTAGGCCCTTGGTAGTTACTATTAATAATCAAACATAGATAACTTCCAACAGCACATTAATGTAAAGGAGACTCAACTTAGTCACTATGGTATTAATGATTACCGCTGAATACAAGTCTCGAAATATCAGGAGTCCTGTTCAGTACAACTTAAGACAGTACTAAAACAAGTCAGTTAAATATCATTCACACTGCATAAATAACAGTCAAGAAAATACTACTCAAATCTAAGCTAGACAGCGTTTAGATTTACTTACATAGGCACGAAATATTGTGGTTCAAGAAACCGCTAAACAAATCTCTACTTGTGTATGTGTACGGAATGCACAACACGAGAATACAACAATAGGCTATATCGGTGGATCTAGACTATAGCAGATCTAGATCAGTAGACCAGGCATAGGCCTAGAACTAGTGCAATTATAAACATGTAAAATATGTGTTAGTAAGCGTACGCACTCACAACAGGCACTCAGTCAGTCAAAATAAGGCATCACAATGATAAACAATGCAAAGTATCAATCACAATATAATTAACGTTACGTGAGTCATTGGAGTTGAATTCAAAGTAGATCTTCTTCAAGTTCTAGGTAGATGTAGAAACTAGCTAGTCGAAAACAGTGGTCGACGAGCTGGTTGTCGATCGCGTAGGATATGCAGACGATGATCGACGCTAGGTGAATACCACGATGTTGAAGACAACGATGATGACAACAATGATGAAGACGACGCTGGTGAAGACAGCGATGATGAAGTCGACGATGAAGACGACGCTGGTGAAGACAGCGATGATGAAGACAACGGTGATGAAGACAACGATGATGAATCAGTTAACAGATGAATACAATGATGATGCAGTCAATGTCAATAGTCTAGATCAACTTCAGTGCCTTGCGATGCAGGTCGAAGAATCAAATGTCGAGACAATATATATGAAGTCGATGATAAAAGGTTGTCAAACAATAATGCAGGTGAGAAAAACGTTAGATCATATTAAATGTTCTATTCTCACTGCTGGTGAAGTAAAGTGTCGTCAATGTTGAACATCGAGAGAGTCAAAATATATCTTGCAAAACGTACAAGATGTAAATAGGTGAGCACGTCCACCGGGAATGGTCCGGGGACGTAGCAGTTCAATCCTCGTTGGATACAATTTTCTAGGTACAAATATCAACACAATAACAGCATGTGTGTATACCAATATTAAAACAGCTCACTGATTCCCGCACAGGAAAATCAGAAGAGCGCCAATCAACTACAGCGCGATTGGTTCAAAACACGCGCACATGTATGTTAATTAAGCACGTGATCAAAATACTTATGAATAAATACGCGTACATCTATGTTAATTCATCATGTGATGAAAATACTAATGAATAAACATCGTTATATAATAAATCGAGTTAAAACCAGTTCTGAGGACATGGCGTAATACCAAATCCTCGAACTCTCAATGACTTCTAAAGCGGCCATTTTGGATTAAAAACACAATATGTATACCAGTGAATTATAAATGAATGCACTGTAACATTTGTCGCTACATTAACCCCCCTACTAGACCCGAGCTTGCGTAAGCTCCGAGGGGCGAAAATACACAATTAAAAATATAAAGGAAACATATGTACAAAATACATCAATATACATGAAAATAACCACTATTTATGCGACACGTTCAATGTAGTGAACCTGAACGTACCTTTGCGGCCAGTGGACGTGGCGGCCTGAACGTGT